TGGAGAGATGAGAGATTGAGAAATGGGGAAAAACAAAAATAAAAACAAAAGGGTAAAATAAAAAAAATGAATAAATCGAGAAACTGGAAATGAAGAAAGATGAAAGGGGAATAAGAGAGAAGAAAACAAAACAAAGGAACAAAAAAACCCCAAAAACAAACAAAAAAGAACAAAACCAAAAAAAGAAAAAAGAAGTGCCCCCAGAGATGTCCCTGTGCGTCTGCACTGAGTAAGGGAGTATCTTCCAAGCCACGCAGTACTGTCCGGCTAGAATGGGCTCCCACCCTAGGAAAGAAAAAGAAAACAAACAAATCAAAACAGAACAAATCAGAGCAAACTAACAAAGAAAAAAGCCCCGGGGGTCCCACCAGCGTGACGGCACAGTCTGGGAAGCAGTTTCACAGTCGAGTGGTGTTTTGCAGACTTTCAGGAAGAAGCAAAGATGGCACACAGAGCCAGGTATTTGAGAGAAAGGAGGGGGAGGTGGTGAGAGATACCGAAGAAATCTAAAGAAGCCGGAAAAAACAACACCAACAGCCAACAAAAGGCACTCAGGGAGCTGGCCAGTGCGGGCGGGTGGAATCCTAGTGACACCAGGGTGAAGCTGGTGCTTCCTGGCCAAGAGACTGTGGCTGCAGGAAGCAGAAGTGTTGGTGAAGAAGGGTGGGGGGGGGTGGGAAGGCCTATATCACTGCTTACCGGTTGTTCTGTCTCCTGATGGAATCTCTGTGAAGCTGCTTTCTCATACCCCCAGTTCACTGATCTCCAATAGTTGTCCCAGATGGCGGATCTGTGCTGTGGCAGTTGATAGGGGACCTCTGCATGTTTATCTCTCTGTTCTCTGTCAGTTTCTTATTCCATTCAGTGCTTGGCTGAGTTCTTTATCTCTTCATTTGATGCTGAGAGTTTCAGGATTGATGTGTGATTCTGTTTGACTTAGTTTTTCTGATCTTTGCTTCAGAGGGATGGCGTGGAGCTTCTGACTATAGCGCAATGTTGCCCGAAGTCCAGTACCTACTTTTTATGTGTTATTGTTAGCTGTCATCAGTTCTTCCCCCAACTCATGGTGACCCTATGCACAGTGGTACTGGACTATTGTGATTTATAGGGTTTTCACTGGCTGATTTTTCAGAAGTAGATTGCCAGGCATTTTATCCTAGCATGTCTTAGTCTGGAAGCTCCGCTGAAACATGTTGAACATCCCAGTAACGTGAAAGCCTCTACTGCACTTGAGGTACATTGATTGGGAATTGAGCCCAGGTCCCCTGCATAAAAGGGGAGAATTCTGCCACTGAATCACAACTACAGTGAATAATTCTTGTTAAAGTGACAATTAGTGTGCAGTGCCGCTGAAGTGTATTGTGTATTCACTTTTCTTAAGGCACTGTTTTCTTCCATCATTTATTTCCTCTATTCTTGATGCTGTTTAATTAAGGAATATTCGCTCTTTTTCATCCCTCCTTTAATGCTGATTGTGACTTTTAAGGGCTCCTGATAGAATATTTCCAATGTTATCCTGACTTTGTTGCCTGACTAGTTTGCAGATTTCCCAGCTCAGTGTGGTACATCACTTGAAAAGGGAAATTACGTAAACAATGTGATCATAAAGGGTTAATTTTTGAAATTGTTTTCCATTAGAAGTATTTTCTGATTACTTAATTGAAATCAAATTTTCCTACCCACCAAAAAATTACTCTATCTGTCTCAGTCTTCCCCACCTTTAGTATTTGGCATTGCTGTCCTCCCCGTTGCTGCCCTCCCATCACAAATTCTTTTGATTCTAAAATATTTTCTTCAATCCTGGTACCACTTCTTCCATTTCCAATGTCATACCATATTAGTCTGTCACCATATTATCTTGCCAGACTACTTTGATAACCTCCTAACTTGTTTTCTTCGTTTTGTTCTTCCCCATCCCCTGTTGCCATTCTCTGAAAGGCTGTCAATCTGATCTTACTACAATCAAAATTACACTGTCGTTTCCCTACTCAAAATTCTCGGTAACTTCAACCACATTGAACTCCTTTTTTCCCCTGAAATTGTCTTAACATTCTTTCCTGTCCTAGGGACTTTACTGTTCTTACTCTTCCCTTCCTTACAGACCTTCCCTTGACTCTGCTCTGCTGTTTTCTCATCTTTTAGTTCTCAACCCAAACATCAACCTTTCAGGGAAGCCTATTACCCAAGTGAATTTTTAGCTTTTGCATAGCCATTGTAAGTTGCCATCACATCGATTCCTACTCTTGGTGACCCTATGTGTTAACGGAGAAGAACTGTCCTATAGGGTTTTCATGGCTGTAATCTTAATGTATGCAGATTACCAGGCCTTTTCTTCCACTGTACCACTGTCAACCTTTAGGTTAGCAGTCAAGTGTATACTGTTTGTGCCTCCTAGGAGCTCTGGTGTCACAGTGGTTAAGAGCTCACCTGCTAACCAAAAGGTTGACAGTTCAAATCCACCACCCACTCCTTGGAAACTCTATGCGGCAGTTCTACTCTGTCCTATAGGGTTGCTGTGAGTCAGAATCAACTCAACGGCAATGAGTTTTTGGTTTCTAGTGACTTTTTGAGTAGTGATTACTCGCTATCTTATTTCTTTTACTTTCTTTTAATTTTGTCTCACCTTATTAAGTTAAAAAACAGACGTTTATTTGTTTTATGTTTTTTCACTAACATGTTTCCTGTGCTTGAAGAATATAATAAAAAGTACCTACTTAATAAATACTTGTGGATAAATGAATTGTAATTAATTTGGCAGGTATTCTTCCTTTGAACTAAGTCTTATATAAGTCGGTGATTTTATTTACAACACATGGCTTCTGATTTGAATCAACTGTTTTTTGATTGTAAGGATCAGAGAAGTGTCTCCCTTTCATTTATGTATTCCAAAGTTAAGTCCTTGGCATGCTTGAAGTCTTGCCTCAAGAAAAACTGTTATTTCATAGTTTTACTTAATATTTTATTCATTTGATTTATTTTGTCATGATGTTTTAGAACTATCTTTGACATATCCATTCAGTTTCAAAACATTATGGATTTGTTGCACATATTCCCACCCACTGCCGTCGAGTCGATTCCGACTCATAGTGACCCTATAGGACAGAGTGGAACTGCCCATAGGGTTTCCAAGACTGTAAATCTTTACAGAAGCAGACAGCCACATCTTTCTCCCGTGGAGCAGGCTGGTGGATTCAAACCACTGACCTTTCAGTTAGCAGCCAAGTGCTTAACCACTGTACCATCAGTGCTCCTTGAACATGTTCAGGGGTATAAAAGTCAGAACCTCTCCATTATGAAGATTTTGTTTTTCCTTTTGATTCATCTGTCTTTGGCTGGAAGATAACTTGAATGTTTTCATCCTCCCTGCCAAATAGTTATGGGAGTGGTATACATGTCTTGCACATCTGGAAATGTATTTTCCTGCTTTAAACATGAGGAAAAAATGATAAGGTGTAGAATCCTTGTGCTACTTCTCTTTCCCCTGGTAACTCAGTAGTAATGATCCTGTTTTCTTCAGGCTTTTAGTGTTGAGTAGAAAGATGGACCATCTTGATGTTTGTTCCTTTAAAGGAGCATATATACTCGTAGGGATTTTTTTTTTCGTCTCATTTTGTGTTTCACAGAAATATATCTGAGTGATGGTCTCTTATTGTGATTGATTATTATGGCTCTCATTCAGACTATCGACCAAGCTCTTTATTCACCTCAGGAGATTTCAGCTTCTGTTATTTTTGATTATAAATGTACTTTTCCGTTTGTTTTGGTTCTTTATTCTGGAGCAATCTTCTGTTCAGTAGCTCTGATTTTGGTCTCTGTCTTCTATATCTGTAATGATATCCTTTGTTGTTTTCTTTATCATTTTTCTCTGATTCTGGGAGAACTTTATGCTATTTTAGTTTTTTTTCCAGTGGTGAATACATCCCTTATTTCTAGTGCATTTTTAATATTTGTCTTCATTCTAAGCTTTTTTTAATACCTTTTCTAACTCTTTTTATTTCTATGTATCTTTCAGGCAACTTTCTTTAATCGTTTTCTCATCTCACACTACTGTTTCATCGAGTATAGTCAGAGGAAATGTTTTTTCTGCATTTTGGATAACGTTCTCCCCTTTGCCTAGTAGCCCCACCCCCACCCCCATGGGACTCGTGTTTTTCTTCTTCCATTTATTCTTAAATGATAAGAGGGTTCTCCAGACTTGAGTCATTATGTTAGGCTATGATCTGAAAACCCTCTACTCCTACAAAGTACACTACTTATGTAGCTCTTTCTGATTTCACTTCTTTCATTTATAGACTTTCCAAGTTGCAAAACATCATCATATAGTCGTTAATGCTCTGGAGAGGTTATGAGGAATTAATTATGTGTCCAAATGGATGTAGTACAAGAACAGCTTACTGGAAGGTAATTTATGGTTGATCTCAGTCGGAAGCACTCTGATAGGGATGAAGTCTTACCAAGAACCTTTCTGTCTGAAGTAGAGGTAGACTCTTATGGAAATCTATATTATTATTCTTACAGAGCATTGCCCATTCTGTGTTTTAGTTGGTGAGAAGTTCTGAGATCTTGACATATGAATAATTGTATTTGTAGTTTTCAGGGCTTTTGGTTTTCATGAATATGTCAATGAAAAGGTGAAGGAAGGTGAATCAGTATTATTATTTGCTGTCATTAAGCTTCCATCTTGTCTTGTGATTTTATGTTTATGATCATACTACTAAGCTATATGTTGTATTTGATTTGTAATACTTTGGAAAGTATGCCTTGGTAATATAATTTATTATCTACAAATCTTAATTTTTGTTACTTAGATTTCAAGTGTTATATGTCACAAAGGCTCATGATTGCATTTCTTAAAAATTATTAAAGTGTTAAGTCCTCAATTGTTCCTTTATAATCTAATTTGGGAAAAGTAATTGTTTCATGACTGTTTAAATACTTTGTGCATCTTGGTTCAGTCAGTTAAACTTTTTGATCTGTAAATGGAACTTCTTTTTTTGTAGGTAAAGTACTCAGATACTGAATAAATCCTAAAAGACTGCAATAAAGTGGCAATGTCTCGGGAACCCACCCCACCTCTACCTGGAGACATGTCTGCTGGTCCTATAGCAGAAAGCTGGTGTTATACACAGGTACATGCTATTGAAAATGCCTTTTTTATATGTCACTTATAAATTTTTTACTGTTTTGAGAATATTACTGTGAAACTCATGGCAAGTTATTAGAAATGCTAGAAAAGTATGGGATGTAACAAGTTAAAAAACATAAAAGTCATTATTAAAAATGGTTTTCTGAATCTCTTAGGTTAAAGTGGTAAAGTTTTCCTACATGTGGACCATTAATAACTTCAGTTTTTGTCGAGAGGAAATGGGTGAAGTGTTAAAAAGTTCAACATTTTCATCTGGCCCAAATGACAAAATGAAATGGTAAGATTTTTGTTTTTATGTTTGTTGTTTTTGTTGTTCTCATAAGCTGCTTTATGGTTTTGTTGCTGTTAATTGTTCCTGAGTGGATATTCGTTTAATTTTATGTTAGATTGGTAATAAGTTCCTAGGAATATAGAGAATTGTAAAGAATTGTGGGTGTGTTGATTGCCAGGAGCACTCTTTGTGATATTATTTAATGAATGATTTCAGTATTGCCTCTCTTATTTTGAACACTTAAAGTATTATATTCCTCCATGTGAGCTTGTTGTTTTATTTTAGGTGCCTGAGGGTAAATCCAAAGGGATTAGATGATGAAAGTAAAGACTACTTGTCCTTATATTTGCTTTTAGTCAGCTGCCCAAAAAGTGAAGTTCGAGCAAAATTCAAATTTTCCCTTCTGAATGCTAAAAGGGAAGAAACAAAAGCAATGGGTAAGTGATTTGCAAACTGAGTGAAGAAGTCTCTGTGTAACTATGTCATGTGACTTCTGCACTTTACCAAGAAAATCGGGGCATTTTTTTTTTTTCCACCAAAATTTGCTTTACTTAAAACATTTGATTTGGCCAATATCTAATTAGTTTTAAATGCCAGCGTAGAGATGTAGTTGTTTTTATAAATCTTGGACTTCACGAGACCTTTTAAAACGATATAAAATTTAACTCTTTCATGCCCTAAAATGACATTCATTTGTTGCTTGGAAAAAATAGCTGCTGTTAGGGCAAGGTGCCTGGTTCAATGATTGGCATTTAATAGGTGTTCAAGAAATATTTCTCTTCTTCCTTGCTATTTTTGCCAGGTAATAAAATCTGAAGAGTAATGCTAAAGGAGATAGAATATCCTGATGTTTTGATGATAGAATTTTTTTGAGCAGTGAACGAAATACTGACTGAAAGGCAGTTTTTCTTAGTCACAAATCTAGCCAGCTGAAATGATGTAACCTGGAACTTCATCATAGAAGAGCACTGTAAGAAGTATAGAATGTGCATAGTAGGGAAATACATCATCAACTGCCATGTTAAATTTTACATGTTTTCTAGAAGTGAATCACAGAAACAAGCAATTTTTTGTCACAGAAAACCTACTCCACACACATTTTCAAAAATAATATTTTTTATTACCAAAGTAATAAATATTTTCACATTGTCTCACCTTTAAGATAATGGAGTGTGTCAGAATTAGGCTTACTGCTAGTTTTCCACCTCCATTTTATTATTTGTATAATGGATAGTGAATACTTTCTCTGGATTATTTTGTTTATTTCAGAGTATACAGATATTATGCAGCATGTTAGGCAATTGTAACATTTACTTTAGTTATTAAATCCTTTACAAAATTATACTAAAAGTGTGATTTGGACTTTTATGGAAATTTTTTGGGAGGATTAAGGGATTATATGTAGAGACATAAGAATGCTAAGGAGACTTTAACTTTTTCACCACTTAATGGTTTTTTCTGTAGTCCATTAAAACTTAAATCATTGGTATGGGTGTCCCAGGAAAGCTTAAAGGATACTTCAGTGATTTCAAGCATCCATTTTTAAAGGGAGAAGCAGGAAATGAGCGGTGTAGATCTAATAGGGTTCTGATATGAGACGATAACCAGTATGCCTGTGCCAGTGTTTTTGCTCATACTTCATTGTCTTCAAGGACCTAGATTGTTAAGAAAGATCTCTTCCTTCTCCATGAGATTTGATCTGGTTTTTCATCTCTTTAGAGATGCAGAAATCTAAAATTGAGCTCATTGATGATGGCCAAAATTTGAGTAGTAATGTGGAGTGATCTGGTGCTGCCTGCCTTTTATGACATTCATTTATGAACACACATATACATAATTTTTATGATGGATGTATTGGCCCGTCCCGGTTTTTTGCGTGTTTTATTCAACTGTGTTATCATTAAAAAAATGCTTCTTGAATACTTGCTTTATTTAAACTTCTATTCTGTTTTCCACCAGAAAGCCAAAGAGCGTATCGATTTGTGCAAGGGAAGGACTGGGGTTTTAAAAAATTCATTAGAAGGGATTTTTTGCTTGATGAAGCTAATGGTCTTTTACCAGATGACAAGCTTACATTATTTTGTGAGGTGGGTACATTTTTTCGTTTAAGGAATTCCGTGGTTAACTTTAGTGGTTTAGGAAAAGTATAAACTGGAATAATATTGGGTGTAATTTAAAAATTAATTGGTATGTGAATAAAGTTTCATTTGTAAATGCTTGACTAAAAAAGCTGACTAGATTGTGTCTTATAGATCAATATAGTAGTCCAGTTGGAAATTAGTTATTGAAAAAATTCTGTCATATCTCTAGCTATTAATTGTAAATGCCGTCGTACTATTATTGTGTGCTATTGAATCAACTCTGACTCATAGCTACCCTGTAGGACAGGGTAGAACTTCCTCTAGGGTTTCCTAGGCTGTAATCTTTACAGGAGCAGATTGCCAGGTCTTTTCTCCTGCGGAGCAGCTGAGGGATTCGAACCACCAACCATTTGGTTAACAGCCAAGTGCTTAACATTGCGCCAACAGGGCTCCTGCAGTTATACTACCATATATTAAATACTTCTTCCTTTTGAAAAGACTACGAATATGCATATCTTTATATATGAAAATTTCCAAATTTCTTCTTCATTCTGAATAACATATAGTCAATATGTTTGTCATATTCAGATTGATTGTATTAAAAACTTTTACTCAAAGTTTATCAGTTTGAATCCATATGTGAATGGTAATGAAAAGTACCTAAGGAAGATTGGGGAAGCTTTTGTTAATTCAAGTAATTTGATTAATCAAATGTTAGTATTCTAAGAGATAAGGAGGCTGCATGGCGCACTGATTAAAGCGCTTGACTGCTAACCGAAAGGTCGGTGATTTGACCTATTCTGTGGGAGAAAGATGTGACGTTATGCTTCCATAAAGATTATAGCTTTGGAAACTCTATGTTGCAGTTCTCCTCTGTCCTGTAGGGTTGCTATGAGTTGGAGTCGACTACACAGCAACAGGTTTTTGTTTTTTATTCTAATAAGTAGTTTCTCAAATTTTTGAGATATGCCCGTGTCAGTTACAAATTTATGAGGGGTATTTATGTGCACAAAGTGTCATATTTTGGAAGTTAGCAGCATTGCCCTATCAAATAATTTACACTGAAGATTTTTCTTAATTTAAAGGTTTGTTTTGCTTCTGTCATTAGTATCATGAAGTGGTTTTAGCTCTACAAATTTTTGAGATTCATCTTTGCAGTGATTCAAAGATTATTATATTACCAATACAGTTTATAGAGAGTATGTGTTAGTAACATAGTGGTAGTGAATTGTTGAAAACAATGGAAATGGTTATGACCCAGTAAACTCAATGTTAGATTTCAAAAGGTTATTGTGGACAGATGAGTGTCTTGGAAGCCTGCTAATTTCCTTCACTGCTACTTAGGTAGCTTTAATCTCTTCATAGGAAGTGTGTAAAATTTGCCTGGCAAGATTACAACTTAATTGTATGTCATTATTTTGTGTCAGAATAATAATTGAAATATGGCCCTGAAGATTACATAGTGCAAATAGAGTGCATCTTATTTTCACTTAGACAGGTTAAACGAACTGTATGATGACTTTATTATGAATACAGTTATTTGGCTCATAAACCATATACAAGTGTCTTGAATAGGACTTATCATTAAATGATTTGGGGGGGAGGAAGGGAGCATTTGTTGCCAATAGACAGATATTCTCAGTAGTATTCTAAATAAATATAGTTCATTATCGTTTATGCTGTTTAAAATTTTTAGCATCCTTAATGTAGAAACTCCCTGAATTTTAGCAGTTATCTTAACTTTCAAAGTGTTAATTTTTTAAAATCATGTTATGTTAGAATTTAAAGGACCTTAATTTAAAGTTATTTAATATTTAACCCAATTTAAAGAAAACTAGTGCAGCAAAAGTTATTAGTGAATGAACATCTTTAGAAAATACTCCTTTTTTTAGAACTGAGATAGTATTTACAGCTATTTTTCTTAGCATATATTATTGGAACCTAGATGACTAAGAAATTCAGAATTAAGGCTGAAATTAAGTTTAAGAACCTTTTTTTGATATATATTTTTGAAGTATGCTTGGTATCCATATGCTAGATGCTACATGCTAGTGACCCTAGTAAGATAACCCATCATGACAAACAATTTTAAGCTGGGATTGATCAGACTCAGTTTTGGATCCTGAAACATGCATCTTTTTACTGCTGTACATATTTATACCCTCGGCACCATATTTAGCGCAGTTGGGCAAAAAGTACTTTTAGCAAACATTCCTCACGCCCTCCATCATCTCTTCCACCACTCTCATGGATGCCCCTTCCTTCTGCAGCGTCTCCTGCACTGCTTGCAGAAGAGGAGGAAGCGTTGCACTGAGCCTACCTAAAGAACTGCCTCCTCCCCCTCCCCTGCAAGTGGTGCTGTAGACAGGTAAGGCAGTTTGCTGCTACCCTTTCTGTGCAAGACCTAGCTTAATCTTGCAAGTTCCACACAGTGTTTCAAATTGCCAAAGGTAAACAGATTTCTAGCACTTAGAATTCTGCCCTCTCTCCCACAAAGTGATGTAGAAAACAGGAATTGAGGAATAAATAGGAAAAAGTACAAAACTCTTTAGATTAATTCGTCTTTTGAAATAAAAAATATTTTAAATACTAGTCTGCAGACCCATGCCATTTCATGATAGATAGAAACAATATATATGCACAGATAATATACATATAATGTGTTTTTTATAAAGGTAAATAAGCTAATTCATTTTTAAGGACACATCTTTTTTTCCATCCTATTTTTCTTTTGCTAAGATAGCCTTTGTTTTAAAATACTTGTGATAGTGGATGATGCTTTATTCACCGAAAGGCCCTTTCTTCGCACAATGAAAAGGTGACAGTGTTGCTCCTGTCACCTAAATTTTAAAGAATGATTTCTATCTATAAAATTCAAAGTCTGGGACCCATTATTCTAGAAAACAATGAAGTTGGACTGTTAAAAGTTCTCTCCTTTGGAGCTGGTGTGTGTGCGTTTGGGTCGGGGAGAAGATTAGGTAGTTGATTAGAATGGAGAAATTGTAGTACCATGCAGCTTTGGGAATTCCCAGCTTTCAGAACCAGTTTGAAGAATTCAGATGTTTAAAAATGGGAACCTTAGTTCCACACTGGAGGAAACCAAGATTTTTTTTATTATGAAAGAAAAGCAAATTTAACCTCAGGAAAGAATGTCAGCCTTTTTTCTGAATTTTTCATTCTAGGTTCATTGAAACAAAATGTTTCGTACCTGTATTTAAATACGTAATAGAGAAAACTAAATTTTTACCTTAAGCAAAGACTGAATTGTTTCTTAATCATAGATATCAAGAATTTAGTATATATTGATTTTTAATTAGATCATTAAATTTCTACTATAAGTAATAGTCCCTTGAATACTCTTTGGTGTGTGAAATGTTAATTATGTGTCTTGGTCAAAATTTATGGTTGTATATGTAGATGTATATGTCAGTAATAAAAGCCTTTTGAATTATGATTGCTTATACAAAATATGTATCTAACATTATCACTATCTGTGCCTGATAATGTCTGTTTAATTTTTTTAGCCTTTTATTTCTATCACTTGATTTTTGCCAATTTTTCACATTAATATATTATTTTTACTTAAAGAATTTTAGAAATCCTTTCCTAAATTAAATATAGCACCACATTTTTTAATTTCACTGCTTACTTTATGCAGGTGATTAAACAGAACCAATTCCTGTTCTCGGGATTTCAAGAGCAATGCTTGATGTTAACAAATAAATACTATATGTAATAAAAAGCAGATCCTAACTGAACCCTGAATATTAACACCAACATTTTTGGTTTGTGTATCATTAGGTTATAATGTATGATTAAGTAGGGCAATTAGGTAAGGATTAGTGAAGCTTGTTTCTGTTTTGTAGTTACTAGAATTTTAGAAACAACTTGATTAAAAACTTAATAGGATAGGAGAACCTTTATGGTGGATTTATTTATATATGCAATATCTTAGTTCCTATATTTAGAAAAATATTTCAAAAGATTGTTGTAATAAATGCCATCTGAACCATAAGTGTATTAATATAATTAATTTAAAAAATATATCCAAAGAAGTATTGTGTAGTGCAAGTAACCCTGAAAAGGAGTCTGGAGATACAGGTCTAGTCTTTCTTTGCTACTAACTAGCAGTGTGATTCAGGGTACTTATTTACCTTCTCTTGATCTCATTTTGACCTTTTTTATAAAATAAGGTGATTGGATTAGATGATTTCTGTACACATATAATTGCAAAAGGTTAGTATGCAAGTTGGGGTGAGGATAGGTGGTTTATAAAAATAGCATCTGAAAAGTACAGATTTTCTAGTTTTTCTGTAGAAGTGTTCATTAATTCACATAAAATATATATCTGTATGTTGAGGTGAATGAGGACTTCTGAGACAATATTCTCCAAACATTTTCCACTGGAACATTTTTATACTTTATGTGTTATGTGTTAGCATATTAGGATTTGGTCTAATTTATCCATTTTAATTTATATTTTGTACATAGCTAACTATTTATATATATGTTCTTATTTAAACTCACCTTCATTTAACAAAAACCTTATGAAATAGAGGGTTTTTTTTTTTTTTTTGAACTTTTTATTGTGTTTTAGGTGAAAGTTTACATAGCAAATTAGTTTTCCAGTCAATGATTCTTACACAGATTGTTCTGTGACATTGGTTGCAATCCCTGTAATGTGTCAGCACTCTGCTGTTCCCTCCCAGGGCTCCCCATTTCTATTAGTCCAGTTTTCCTGTTCCTCTCTGTCTTCTCATCTTTAATTTTGGGCAGTTGTTCCCCTTTTGATCTCGTATAGTTAATTGTTCTAAGGAGCACATTCTTCACGGGTATTATTGTTTATTTTATGATCCTGCCTATTATTTGGCTGAAAGGTGGCCTCTGGGAGTGTCTTCAGTTAGAAGGTTGTCTTAGGGCAGTAGTCTCAGGGGTTCTTCCAGTCTCTTTCAGACCAGTAAGTCTGTTAAATGAATGCACTTGTATTAGTTATCTATTGCTGTGTAACACATTACCCAAAGATTTAGCAGCGAAAACAACAAAAATAGGTAACTAATATAGTACTTTTTGTTAAAAAAAGTAAGTTCATTTACTCTGAAACATTTGCTTTACTAGTTTAGTTTTTTTTTTTTCCAATTTATTAAATGTAATGTGAAATTTCCAATAATATAGTAGAATACCTCTTCTTAAAAGTGACGTTGGAAGACTTGTTAGAGTTTCCATAAAGTATTCAGTATATAGCCATTTTTAATGGGAGATAATTTAATAAGCACTGTATTAGAATCCTCATAAAAGCAATGTTATAATCATAACAGCCTTTATTATTTCATAGGTAAATACAAGGTCTGCAAATTGCATTAAATTATATTTGTATTGCTCTTACCATTGATTTTCTATAAATGATTCCATGAACTTTAATTATTACACTAGCTTTTGTGAGAGTTTTTGTAATTTTAAATAAACATATTTGAGTTGATTTTACTAGATTTGAAAAACATGTAGGAGTAACACTTAAAATACTCCCCAATTTGCATGTTGTAGATTGTAGTTTTATAACCTTTTTTTTATACTTTAAAAAGTCATTGTGAGCCTTATGCCACGTTTATTGTATGTGTAGCAAAATTTAAATGTTAATAGGCTTGGAGTGTGAGATAATAAAAAGTAAAGAAATTTCTTTCTCCACCTCATGTAAATGACTTTTCCTTATTTGCAGTTGATATATCATGACATTTTTTTGTTGTTTAGAAATAATTTTTGTAATTGCTATAATTATCAAGCATTCCAATCAGTTGATAAGCTGTTTATTTACATAGTATTTCGCTATTGAAACAAATCTAATTTGTTTCTAATTTTTCTCTATATCATTTCTCTCCTTTAAATTGTATCCTTAAATTCAGTTTCCAGGTAATAGGATTTTTGATCAAGAGTACATTGAATTTTTCAAATGATTTTAAACATATTTTAAACATAAATCAGATATATTTAGTAATTGATTATTGATTTCAATTCGTGAAATTGTTTTTCTTGCTCTCTTTTTTAGGTGAGTGTGGTCCAAGATTCAGTAAATATATCAGGACATACTAATACAAATACTTTGAAAGTTCCTGAATGTCGACTAGCAGAAGATTTAGGTAATCTCTGGGAAAACACAAGATTTACAGATTGCAGTTTTTTTGTAAGAGGACAAGAATTTAAAGCTCATAAATCTGTGCTTGCAGGTACTTTCTACTTTCGAATAATACAGTATTTCTTTTTTCCATAAGTTTGTGCATTAACTAATGATGCTTAATCTTGTTACAGCTCGTTCCCCAGTTTTTAATGCAATGTTTGAACACGAAATGGAAGAAAGCAAAAAGGTAGGCATAGTTTAAGAGCTAATATTTAAATTGCACAAATGTAGGATAATGGAATATGAATTTTAAAAGTAACAGTGCATGTTCTTGTCATACTGTTATAAGAAGGGAAGAAATTTGGAAACAAATAGAAAGATGGAAGAAAAAAAATGTTCTTATAATAGAACAATAAATGTAGCCCAATGTGAATACTCAGTGAATAGCCCAAGTAGCAGCTATTTTGATGCCACTCTGGTAGGTAAATAAATGAGTAGTTGTTATCCAAAGGACTGTTCTGGGCCATAGCTGTTTGAGAGGTCTTTGGTTAAAATATATATTCCCCATTACTAGACTTCATAGGTTGATTTTGGAATCTGTTTTCTAGAAACAAAAATAGTGTTTATATTCTTTTCATCATTAAAACAAGGCTTACCTGTTTGGCTTTTCCAAACATTTTCTCTTTCACCTGTTGTCTTAAAATGTAGTCAGGTTAGAGATCAGAGGTTGTGTCTCTCTGCTGGTTGCATACTGTCCATCTGGACAACTCCAGAATTTTTTTTTTCTAGATTTTATTTATTGTTGTTGGGAATATACACAACAAAACGTACACATTTCTACATGTACAATTTAGTGGCATTGATAACATTCTTTGAGTTGTGCACCTATTCTCACTGTCCTTTTCTTAGTTGTTCTTCCCTCATTAACATAAACTCACTGCCCCCTAAGGTTCCTGTCTAATCTTCGCAGTTGCTATTGTCAGTTTGATCCAATCTAGATCATTCTTAAAAGAGTATACTATTCAAGGTGGACCTTTTTTACTAGTTAAGCTATTGTTTGATTTTAAGATGACTTCAGGGGATATTTTGGTTTAAGGTTTAAAGGTTGTCTCCAAGCTATAGTTTAAGGGGTTTATCCAGCCTCCATGGCTCCAGAAAGTCTAGGTCTGTGAGAATTTATAATTTTGTTCTGCATTTTCCCCCTTTTGATCAGAATTCTTCTATAGAAGCTTTGATCAAAATGTTCAGTAATGGTACCGGGGCACCATCCAGTTCTTCTGGTCTCATGGCAAAGAAGGCAGTTGGACAACTCCAGAATTTTTTTCTGTAACTCAGCTTTATTCTTTCTGCAGAACTAGAGGCCATGACAGAATAGCTGTGTTTTTTCCTCTGACGATTGGTCTGGGCAAGTGCTGTGATCAGAAGTTATCAAAAGAATTCAGAAGTTATCGGAAGAATTCTGATAGCTTCCAACTGGGGAGACATCATTGATGTCAGAAGTTACTGACAGCAAAGGATCATAAAAGTTTGGTATTATTTAGTGCTAGAGATTTAGCTTCATTGATCCCAGCAGAGAAACCAAATACAAAGATAGGAATAAAAAAGCAGCTAGTCCCCTTTGGACTTGAATATGTCACAAGTCAAGTAAGCATTGCCATTTTTGCAAAAGAGTGTTCTGAGATAGTGGGTTCTGCTATCATCTGAAATATCTGGCCCTACTTTTGTTTAATGCTGGGAATAGAACCGTTGGTTACAGGATCTTAGGCATTGTATGTATTAGAATTTAGGAATTTAACAAAGAGAAAGTTAAGTGCCATCATCCTTTAAGCGAGAGATCAGAATCTGAATTGTTTTGTTTGGCCTCCAGTAATTTGTTTTTTTTATTTTAGTGCTTTAAATTGAGAAATTGGCACTTATTTTCCCACATGGTAGTGCTTGGCCAGTCCAAGTGTCAGGACATGGGCACTCCAGCTGGTCATGTCCCACCTCTCACACAGTATGTGATTCTCCTCTCAGACCTGCCTGCTTTACTTGGACTGCTTAGTTTACTGAAGATATACTTTCCTCGGTTTTATAATAGGATTTAGACATATCTCTAAATGTAGATTTGAGTTGTAAAGTACTTTAGTACAGATTTGAGACTTTTTAAGTTACTGTCAAAGATTCACTTTGGTTCATTTGTGTGCGTGTTTTCTTTAGATGCTACTTTTTTTGTGTATGTTTTTTTTAATATCAGAATCGAGTGGAAATAAATGATGTAGACCCTGAGGTTTTTAAAGAAATGATGAGATTCGTTTACACAGGGAAAGCACCAAACCTTGACAAAATGGCTGACAACTTGTTGGCAGCTGCAGACAAAGTAAGTAATTAGGTCTTAAGGAGCTGAAAAATATCCTTAAGCTTGATGTATATAAAGAGCTATCATCAAATGAAAACCCCAAATAACTTGGAATATTGAATTAATTTGTACTATTTATAAATGACTCTTGAGGATTTGTGAGCTAACATACAGTGGAACAATATGGAAATGAGTTTTTTTTTTAATCCACAAAATGTAAAAATATCTTTAGTCAGAGCATATAAAAGCGAGTAAATATTTCATGGGAAATTAAACTGTAAACTCAATATTTTTGAATGCATCTTTATGCCCTTTTATAAGAACATATACTGGTAGCATATATATATATATTGCAATTTTCAGGTATTTTTAGTCTGTGCATGACCTTTGTTCTTAAAACATGATATAATAGTGCATGGCCTTTGTTTTAAAAAAGGGAGAAAAATTGGTTATTTTGTATAATTTAATTCTCTTTGTATTCGTAGATTTATTTTTTTAATTTGATGGCGTAAACCAAAAAACCAAACCCACTGCTGTCGAGTCACTTCTAACTCATAGAAACCCTGTAGGACAGAATAGAACTGCCCCATAGGGTTTCCAAGGCTATAATCTTTACAGAAGCAGACTGCCACATCTTTCTCCCGTGGAATGGCTTATAGGTTCGAACCGCCAGCCTTTCGGTTAGCAGCCAAACGCTTAACGACTGTGCCAGCGGGGCTCCTTCATGACAGCATAAAAAGAGGAAAAACAGTGTTATCAATTTTACAATGCTGTTTTGTCATGGTAGTTCTTGGAGGTAGGGCAGCTGCAAAAATATAAGAAAATTTCGAAGTCAGTGATTTCTTAATCCTGAAAGCACATTTGAATCTCCTGGGGAGCTTTCTACAAAAATACTGATGACCATGCCACTCCCCTCCCCCCACAAACCTGATTTAATTAGAGTGGGAGAGGACTTAGACATTGGTATTCATTTTAAAAGCTGCCAAGTAATTCTGAGGCTTAGTCAAGTTGAGAACCACTGCTCTAAACTATTGTTTTAAACTGTATTTCATGTCCTTTTTATCTATTGCAATATGACTTTGCTAGTAAAACCATTTTTTAAGGATATAAAACAATTATTAGGCTAGATGACTCCAGAAGAACCAAAGGGGAAGCTAAGTCTAAAAATTCAGGCATGTATAACTAACAGCCCACACACAGTATAAAAGCAACATTTTTAGTGCTTAACAGCGTCATTCCTCTTAGCCAAAAAAAAAATCCTTGCTGTCGAGTCCATTTTCACTTACGGCGACCTCGTGTTTCAGAGTAGAACTGTACTCTATAGGGTTTTCATGGCTGTGACGTTTCAGAAGCAGATCACCAGGCCTTTCTTCTGAGGTTCCTCGGATAGGTTTGAACCACCAGCCTTTTGTTTAGTAACCCAGCGCCTAACCATTTGTGTCACTCAGGGACTCTCACTAGAAAGTATTATAAGAAATAAACAAATCTCCTTATGATGGCCTAATTCATACTCTAGCATGATTAATGATTTAAAAACCTATTACTTAAATATTACCAACATTTTATATTTAGATACAGAGATAGATAGTATGTGAAATTTGAGGGACTTACGGAAATGCACACTTCGAATTAGTTTAACTTTAATCTAAAACCCACTGCCAACGAGTCATTCTGACTCGTAGTGACCGTATAAGACAGGGTAGAACTGCCCCACAGGGTTTCCAGAGAGCGGCTGGTGGATTCGAACTCCAGCCTTTTGATTAGCAGCTGAGCTCAGAAGGGCTCCATCTTTAATCTAGAAAGGAATTATCTAAGTAAGTAGCATTACCCTTAAAGGTTTACAAGAAACAATTTGTGAAAATGTCGTGTTCATTTCTTAGCCGTAATAATTTACTGTTATATTTTATATGTAATGATTGAAAATGCCAAATGTGTTTAAACTGTTATTTATATATTTTATCACTGAAATTAATCATTAGAGACATTTTACTAAGTAACAAGTCTAAAAACTCAATGCAATACTATAAAAATTGCTCTTTGTATTGTTTTTAGAATAATACTTTCCATTTGGGCTACTTAGGATAGTTCAGATTTATATACGGTTAAAATATATAAGAAAAGTCTGACCAAACTGATAATCTGTTATTTATGTTAAGCTTAAAAAACCCGTTGCCATCAAGTCAATTCAGACCCATAGTGACCCTATAGGACACAGTAGAACTGACCCATAGAGTTTCCAGGGAGTGCCTGGTGGATTCGAACTGCCGACCTTTTGGTTAGCAGCCGTAGCTATTAACTGCTAAGCCGCCAGGGTTTCCAATTTTTAAACTTAGCTATTAAATATCTGAAAATATAATTCTTTAGACTTTTGGCTTTTAATAAACTGATTTGGGCATGCAACTACCCAAGGCTGAGGAAAGAACCATCTGAGAAGATTATGTGCAACAGTGCCCAGCGCTTATATAGAGCTGGGAATATTGCCTGTTATGTAAACATTTTAGTGCCGTTTGGGTAATATTCTTACAGTCTGGCTTGTATTTCTGTTTTTCCTCATTTGCCATAAGCAGCTTTGTCTTCTCTTATGTAAAAGTAAATTAGCTTTACTTTAAAAAAAAAAAAAAAACCTATTAAGTCCCTTTTTAAAAGTCTGCATCCTACCTTATGTTTTAGTTAAAATTACCACTGTCATGCCAACATTAATCAGTGAAATTAATTGCCTTGATTCTTAAAAAATTTTGAGCATTGATTAAGTAACAGAGAACACCGAAATATGTTGTCATCCTATTGTCATTTAATTTCTTAAAAGACCTTATAGTTATTTCTGTATCTCCTGTTTCCCACAAAGATTACTGTCAGAATCTATAAATCTACTGCTTTAGGTAGTTGAAGTTTGATGCCTGTTATGGATTGAGTTATGTCCCCGTAAAATAAGTGTTATAAATCCTAACCACTGTATCTGTGGTTATAATCCCATTTGGGAATGGGTTTTTTGTTATATTAATGAGGAAGTTTTAGTGTAGGGTATATCATGAGTAAATCTCTTTTGAGATATAAAAGAAGTAGATTAAGCAAGCAGAGATGGGGGGAAATAGATGCCAAGCTACAGGGAAATCTCCAAGGAACCAGAAAACCAAAGCTGAAAAGAGACAGGGACCTTCCCCCATTGCTCACAGAGAAAAGCCTTCCCATAGAACCGACACTCTGAATTCAAACTTCTGGCTTTCTGAACCGTGAGAAAATAAATTTCTGCTTTTTAAAGCTACCCATTTGTGGCATTTCTGTTATAGCAGCACTAGATAATTAAGACAATGCTTCATCACTTTTCTCGACTAATTTGGTTGTGATAAAGATAATTGAAAAGCAACCCAGAAATTAAATAATATAGGTGTTTCCACTGCTTACCAAGCTGGAGTAACAGGGACCAGATTTACCATCCCACCTGAAATGATGATAAATAAGTAAATAAGGAAATGAAACAAAAGAACACTAAAAGAAGTCCGAATATATGAAAAAATGGTTTTGAAGATGCTGGACTTCTGGCAACGAAGGTCACTAATCCCTGGGATACCTATGATTTTTCCAGTTTACTGCCTTGAGAAAGGTTTCTAGGCCAGGGAGCAGAGAAAAGGAACTCAGGCAGAGGCAGGCAGCTTCCTTGAATTGAGGCAAAGCTGAGAGTCCAGGAAGAACAAAGTAGATTAAATATGCAGGACAAATACTGGAGACGAGAGATCTGCACAGAGAGAAAACTGCACAAAGAGTTCTTCCCTGGAATATTTAGCAGAGTACTGATCGTTCCATGTGTGTGAGCAAGTTACCCAGGCTGGGGAAAGAACTACTGGAATGGATTGCATCTAGCCTTGCCCAGCACTCATAAAGACTGGGAATATTGGCTGTTCACTACTAGCCAGACTGGAAAACATCATCGTTTATGGGGCATTGAATAGAGTACTAAGAATGATCTTGCCTCAGAATATGCCTCTTTGCCTCAGTAGTAAAGAATAATTAGCTCTGGAATAAAATGTTGTCTGATCCTGCCTAACCAGTCTTGAAAGTAAGATCTAACAGAATTAGACTGTTTCCAGGTAACACACAGCCCCAGAACAAAGATTAAGAATATATAATTTAAAAATATCCAGCACCGAACAACATGAAATTCACAATGGTAGCCGATAAAAAATTATCAAGAATGCTTCATCTAAAGTACAATAAAAAAAAGTTAAAAAAAAATAAGAATGCAAAGAAGCAGTTAAATACAGCACATGATGGGGAGAAAAAAAAATCAACAATGTGAAACCAACCTAGAACTGACAGATGTTAGCAAACAATAATAACAGTTCTAACTGTATCCCAGATGTTCAAAAGTTAAGTAGAGACATGGAAGATTTAAAAAGAAAAAAAAGCCTCAAATCAAATTTCTTGAGATGAGAAATGCACTAGATAGAATTAGCAACAGATTAGGAATTCTGGACAAAAAGATAGCGAACTTGATGAACCCTAGAGAAGTCACAAAACAAGGGATTGTAGCTAATAAGCCAACATACGAGATAAAATGGAGTAATAAAAAGATACGATATATCCAAAAGAAGGCAGAAAAAGGAAAATATGAGAAAACAAGTAGCAAGATGACAGGCTTAAATCTAACCATCATATTAAATATAAACATCTAAAAACCTTTATTTAAAGGCAGAGATTGTCAGATTGGACAGAATAGCAAAACTGAACTATATGCTGCATATAAGTAACTCACTTTAAATATAAAGACATACTATGCGCTTCAAAAGACACAGTAGAATAAAAAGAATAGCCACAGACTGGAATAAAATATTTGCAAAGCATTTATCTGAGAACTTTTATTCAGAATATATCTGATAAAGAACTTTTGTATTCAGAATATATAAAGAACTTTCAAAACTCAATTAGAAGAAAGTAAACTTTTTTTTAAATGGGCAAAACATTTGAACAAACATTTCATGAAATAATGTCAAGTATATTAAAAGATGCTCACATCAATCATTAGGGAATCGTAAATTAAAAGTATCATGGGATCCCTCACACCTGTTGTAATGGCTAAAATTTAAAAAGACCATACTAGGTATTGTAGAAGTTGTGGAAGAACTAGGACTCACACTGCTGGAGGGAATGTAAAATGGTTCACCTACTTTGGAACACAGTTTGGCAGCTTCTTAAAAAGCTAAATACATACTATATGATCCAGCAATTTTACTTCTAGGATTTTACAAAAACCAAGAGGAAAAAAAAACAAAAACGTATGCCTATACAAAGACTTGTACATTAGTGTTCATAGCAACTTTATTTTTAATAGCCCAAAACTGAAACAACCCAAATGTTCTTCAACAAGTGAATGGATAAATGAATTATAGTATACCTATACAGTGGCATAAGGAGCCCTAAATGGCACAGTGGTTAAGCACTTGGCTGCTAACCAAAAGGTTGGCAGTTCAAACCAGCTTCTCCACAGGAGAAAGATGTGGCATGGGGCAGTTCTGCTCTGTCCTGTATGGTCACTGTGAGTCAGAATTGACTCAGCGACAATGAGTATACAATGGAATACTATTCCATAATGAAAAAGGATTGAACTGTTGATAAAAGCAACAACGTGCATGAATCTCAGAATAATTATCCTATAATACTGAGTGGAAGAAGCCAGAGAAAAATGAGAATATACTGTATGATTCCATTTATAAAAAACTCTAGAAAATGCAGACTGATCTGTAATGATAGCGTATCAGAGATGTTACCTGGTATGGGGCAGGAGGGAAGAATTGTATAGAGGTAGCAAGAAACTTGGGAATGATAGATATGTTCACTATCTTGATTTGATTATGGTCTTATGGGTACATGCATATGTCAAAAAGTATCAAAATACAAATTTTAAATATGTACAGTTTCTTGTATGTTAATTTTACCTCAGTAAAGCTGTTAAAATGTTTAAAATATATAACATATACACTAACAACCTCAAGAAGTTTTAGTAGTTATGAATATGATTTGTTTAGCTTAATGAATTCTTCAAGATTGAATAGTGGCAATATTCAGTGTACTGGGTGGTACAGTCTGGTGTTTGAAATAGTAGAAAAGAGAAATATACTCATTAAGAGAATATTTAATTTATTTAATAATGTAGCTTTTTAGCATAAACCCTATATTGAAAATACGTAAAATATATCGCACTTGTGCAGTTGTTAATTTCCTAAAGAAAATCTTTTCTCCTAAATATATCCATTTATATTTTCTTCACATTAGCTTAAAACAATGATTTAAAGACTTTTAAAGTATCTTCAGTCCAAAGAATAGTCTGCTTTAATTTTATTTTTGAAAATAAAAATATGTGTTTGAAAACTTAGTAATTTGAGTGAATGTTTAATGGCTATGTTTTTCTTTGGCTAGTATGCACTGGAACGGCTGAAGGTCATGTGTGAGGAAGCTCTGTGTAGTAACCTTACAGTAGAAAATGTTGCTGATACCCTTGTCCTTGCAGATTTGCACAGTGCAGAACAGTTGAAAGCACAAGCCATAGACTTTATTAATAGGTAAGCTATGCTTGTATTTCAGTAGGCATGACATCTTCAACATTTTTCCACCAGACTTTTTTTTAAGTGTTTTTAAATCTTCAATGCAGGTGCAGTGTACTTCGACAGCTTGGGTGTAAAGATGGGAAAAACTGGAACAGCAAGTAAGATGACATCAGTTTCTGACCTAAAGTTGATTTGCATAAATGAGATGAAATGTTTGCATAACCTTTGGTTCGTCTACAGTAAATACAAATCCAGATGTTAGTTATATGAAGAAAACTGCCAGTTATTTTAAAAAGTTATTTGACTACTTAATGGATCTTGAGCCACGTGCTTCCATGTAGATCAGCTTCTAATGCGAACTGGGATGGGTGCTCTAATTTCTTAAGCACACATACTCACATAGTATATATCCAAATCCAGGTGTTTAAGGGCTGATAGAAATTTAATCCCTGCCCTTTCAGAAAGTATTTCTAAAAATATGGGTAATATTTATTTTATCCCATGAGGAATGTGGTCTACAGATTTGCCTAGAAAGTCTTTACATTTGAATGCTAACCCACTGCTTCTTAAGTTAGCCAAGTATCTTGCACTGATAGCTGCTTAATATTCCAAAAATACTAATAACTTGATCTTTCCTTCTCCCTGGTAAAACTGTAAAGGGTGAGGTAGTTGATAACACCTTTCTAAGTCTGGATCTTGTGAATATAGACAATTTGAACAAATGACAATTCTGAGATCCTTTGTACTTAGCCACGTTCAAGTTCTAATTTTACGGTTAAGAAAATATAAAATGCATTATATAACTTTTTATATAACATTATATAACTTTTTCAGTGTTAAAAAATAATTTTATATCCCCTAGAGAAGCTGTGCTGTGTGTATAGGCCTTCAAAAAGGTATTTGTTGAATAAATAAATGAAAATAAATATCAGGTATATTAAGGGGTATCTGTGTGTTTCTACGCACACACACAGAGTTCTAGGAGCCCTGGTGGCACAGTGGTTAAGAGCTCAGGCTGCTAACCCAAAGGTCAGCAGTTTGAATCCATCAGCCACTCTGTGGAAACCCTACGGGGCAGTTCTACTCTGTCTTGTAGGGTCACTTACAGTAATCGACTCAACAGCACACAGCAACAACAACATGTGTTTGTTTCTAAACAGCTAATTGAAATGATGAATGTAATGGCATTTTAATGTCAGGTAAATATTTTAAAAAAGGTTTTGTTGATACCAGCTACCATTTAGATCAGCAAACATTTTTCTAGTATCTACTATGTCTTAAGCACCTTGCTAGGGTGCTGGATATAAAAAGAATTTTGAGATAAAATTCTTGTTTTTGAGAAAATTATCTACTGAAGGAGACAGATACATGTAGATATCACTTCATTATAATATGATAAGGTATATGATAAAGGAGGCTATGGACAGGGCACTTGACTAAGCCTAGAGATTTAGGGATGGCTTTCTGGAGATGACTGAGCTGAGTCTTAAAACATGAAATGAATAGAAGTTAGAAAAACTTAAGAAGGGAGTAACATGTTGCAGGTAGAATGGATAGCATGGACTGAAGTACAGAAGCATGAAGCAGTAGTTGATCATTCACTTGACAGATACTTGTATTTATTGTCCAGTAAGTTCCCAAGGCATATTGCTCAGTACAGAGAACATAGTGGTGAATATGACAGATGTTTTCCCTGCTTTTATGGGGTTTATGGTTTCGTAGCAGATAAATAGGCATTAAAGAAATAGTTGCAATAAAATGTAATGATAGGGAACCTATAGCATAGGGGCATATAGCAAAGGCGCCTAACCTGATCTAGGGGTCAGAGAAAGCCTTTCCAAGTAAGTATATAAATGAAGACCTGAAGTATTGCTAGGATTTATCCTGGTGAGTAGGTTGGAAGAGAGGTGAGTGTATCCCCAGAATAAGGGAATGAGATGTGCAAAGTTTTGACAAAACATTGATGAGATGATGGAAAGACCAGTACAAAGTTATGAGAAGACAGAGGTTATGGGAAGAAACTAGAGCAGTAGATGGAGATCTATTCTGGAAGGCTGTGTAATTAGCATTAGAGCTTTTTGACATTATTTGATGAGTAATGGAAGTCAGTGAAGGGTTTTAACCTGGGATTGGGTGTGATTAGGTTTGTGGTTTTAACAGTCTCTGTGTATTCAGGGTGGAGAATGGATACTGGAGAGGTTGTAGGGGTTTGAGGATATTGAAGAATAAGGTAGACCAGTTGGAAAGTTATCGGAGTAGTTCAGGCAAGAGATGAAAGGTGACATTAGACTTGATGGGTGACAGTGAGACTAGAGAAAAATTAAAGGATATAAGAACTTTTTGGAGTAAGAATATACAATATTTGTATATTTTTTGGATGGTGGATAGGTGCAAGGGAGAGAAGGAAGGAGGCAAGGCTAACTAGGTTTCTTGCCTGAGCATTTAGGTGTTTGCTTTGATTGCTTAGTGAGAGTATGTTGTACATCAAGTACAATAATCAGTTCAGTACTGAGTATAAAATGTCAGCACATGGGAGGTGGAAAGCTAGAGAGAGGAAATAGCAAACTGGCACTAGGGGGCTTTGTTTGTTTCCCTTTATGAAGAACTTGGATCCAGGCATTGGGGAGTAATAACAGAGGTTGTGATACAGTTGTGTTTATGTTACTAGCATCATGGAAGCTGGATTTGAGAGCAGCAAGAGAGCAGATCAGAAGACATATTAGGAGACCTGAAATATGTGATAGATTTCCATCGCCAGGTCTGTCTTCTGAGGCACCTTTGGGTGGGTTTGGACTGCCTACCTTTTGGCTAGTAGTCAAGCACTTAACCATTTGTGCCACCCAGAGACTCCAAAGGGAGAAGAGTAGAGGACAGTGGTTAAAACGCTAGACAAAAACCTGTGTGAAAGGAGCAGATAAAAGAAGAGAGAGTTCTTGAAAGAGCTGGTACAAAAATGGTAGCAATAGGAGTAGAAAGAACTATGGAAATTCGTATCACATACTTCCAGAAAAATTTAATAGTTTCAGTTGCAACAGAAAATACCAGTAAGATAAAGATAATATTTTAATGAATTCAAATGATTTGAATACACTGAGGTAGACAGCAATGTTAAAAACATTTTGAAATCCATAAATTAAAAAAATGACGTTGCATCAATACCATTTTCAAAAATACTCTTAAGTAAACATCTCTTATTTTTATTTTTCAGCCAAGCAACAGACATAATGGAAACAGCGGGGTGGAAATCCATGATTCAGTCTCACCCTCATCTAGTAGCAGAAGCCTTCCGAGCACTAGCATCTGCACAGTGTCCACAGTTTGGCATTCCACGCAAGCGACTAAAACAGTCCTGAAATCTTCCATGAACTGTAGAAAAATGGCAATGACTTTTACTCCTCCAGGTCCAGAAGGATTCTCATACACGAACCATAAGCAAGAGTTGTTTCTGTTTTCCTGTCCACAGAACAGAAACTGAAAAAGCATATTGCTGGCTTTTCAGGTGGATAATTTATGGTTTATTCTTCAGCTTTAAATTAGACTGATAATACTCTAATTCACTTCAAGGCCTTAAATTATCTTCAATGACTTCTCTTGTTCATATAATACTTTAATTTTTTTATTGTGCCTTGTCATTTTGACCAAGGCTATGCAGGATTGCACTAGCTCCATAATGCAGTAATATTGATAACTGAAGATATTAAGTTTCAAAAGGATCTTCCATTATTTTGAGAAAAACAAAATGAATTTTTATAGGGTTTGTCCTATGCTATCTTTTCAAAGGTTAAAACTAGGTTCTCCTTAAAAGCACTTGTATTGGAGATTACCAAGAATGTCTCCAGTCTAAGTTCTATGAATACAGGAGAACCTGCTTACCTTCAAGGTAGGTTATGGCAATACACTGCTTCAATTCTAATTTATTTTTCATTTCAGGGGGCAAATATGCAATGAGTTGGCCCAAATTTTTAGTAAAGTTTGTGATGTTTGTATGTTAACTGTTCAACAAACTAAGAGAAACATAAACTTTTGCTTATGTTTCTTTGTGGGTTTTATCCCAAGTTTACAATGAAAGCATGTTCTGTGCTGAAGTAATTTTTTTTTTTTTTAATTTATATGTCCTGGTGGCACAGTGGTTAAAGTGTTCAGCTGCTAACTGCAAAGCTGGCAACTTGAACCCACCATCTGCTCACCCCACCAACTGCTTCATGGGATAAAGATGTGGCAGTCTGCTTCATTAAAGATTTGCAGCCTTGGGAACCCTGTGGGACAGTTCTACTCTGTCCTGTAGGGTTGCTATGAGTCAGAATCGACTCAGCGTCAGTGGGTTTGGTTTTTGGGGTTTATGACCTACATTTATATGAAGAATTCTGTAGATGTTAAAAGTAAGGATGACCAAATGTAAATTTAATGAGTGGGCCAATTAAGAAAGATATATATGCACTTTTGATGTGTAACTTTTGTATGCTGAATGGTACATATATTTTTTTGCTTTTGAGGGAATTAATAACATATAATTAATTGTGTCTTAACTTTTGAAAGAGTTTTTTTAAGACGGAGGCAACTGGGTTGTTTGTGATAATAGATAAGAAAGATATCCTTGATTATAGTTAAATTGGTTTGAATTTCAGATATTCATTATTGAATTCATTCCTATTTTATCACACTTTGGAGAAGGCACCTGAACAATAAGAAATCCTGGACAGTCTACTCTCCTTCTAGAAACAATGAACTGATACTGCGTGCCTGTGGGGTGTGCACACTAAAGGAGAGAACCCTTAGAGTATGTCAGGGCACACTATGAAACTTCTTCCCCCTACTTCTCCTTACTGTTTCAGTTACTGTACTAACATTGTGGATGATGTTGAAATTCTGCATAATGTGAACAGGATAAACTATTTATATAAACTGCTTTTCATGGGCCAGTTCTTTATTATAAATGAGTGTTAGCTTTAAACACATACACATGCTCAGTGTTTGATAACTGTTTTAGTGGCAGTCTGTTCTGGTGCCACTGTCCTGGGGAGAGATCAGTGTTAGGTTCACTGTAACAGGGACCGTATGCCTCTTAGGTGAGATTAATGTTTGACCACAAGGGAAAAAGTGTGTCACTGGAAAAAAAGCATATGCCTATATATTTGCTTATATAACTTTATTCTCCAGATTAAAATTTGTATAATTTGTTTATTTAGTGTTTGAATTCAGGACAGAAGGAAAAAATGAAACTTGAGGTTTTAAACTAGATTTTATTTTTGCTATCTTGTTATTAGATATTCATTGAACAATTCTAGTATATCAAAAGAGTGATTCATATTTACATTGAAAAAACACTGTCAGGTAAGCATTTGTTATCCACAAACTGGAGTTTGAAAAGATCATATTTTCAGATATCTTAGTTTCTTTCTATGTAGTTCAGTTGAATTTTTGTTGTGTTAACTTAAATTTGAGATTGGAAGAATCTCTTGGGCTAGAGTAAAGGTTTTTACCTGTTAATAGACTCCCTCATATGTAAGATATAGGGTTCGGAAGCTCACTTTCTTAACTCCGCTGTAAGATTGAGCCCGTTAAGTTTACAATGTGAGATTTAAAACATACACATACACTTTTAATTTAAGAACTTGCTAGGGTCTTACAAGAAAAAAATTCCTTCCTCAGGCTATAGAATTTTGTTGTCGTATATTATAAAAATCCTGGTGTCTCCGTTTATATCAAACGCACACAGGCACATTGTGAATGAATTCACTGCTAAAATCTACATCTCTAACATAGTGACTTCACAAATAATATGGTATTACAAACATTTCAGCTTGTCCTTCCTTTAATGTTTATTGTAAATCTTAAGGATTTTATTATAAAGATTTTTTTTTAAGTTTGGTAGCACATTTTTTACCAAAAATGTCAAACACTGTGCTATAAATGCAAGAATATCCACATTTGTAGAAGTGTCCACTTTTCAAATAATATATTGCCTACCATTTTACTAACAGAATCATATATGAGTTGATTTATTTTTTTATTTATTATGTATATTTTTGGTATTGGGGGTTCTTGAGGCAATGATAAAAAACTGTTTATGTATTCTGAAATGAGTGCTCTAATAGCTTTTTTTTTTTTTTCAATTTTAGACCACACACATTGTTTTCAATAGGAACAGATTCTGTCCAGAACAGTCTTGCCTTTTGAACTATCTGCCTGCTCCTGGTTCCCTTTTCTCACCTAAACAGGGCTTCTCCTTAGAAATGTAGTGAGCGGTTTTAAATGTTACATATTATAAAAATAACCATTGGAGAACCGTTCTTCAGTGTAAGATTTAGAAACACTATATTTGTGCCTTTTTTTCTTTTTCAATTTTAACATGCATTGGTATTTGGAGCACAAATATGAAGGTGCCATAAATTATGGCTTGCCAATGTTACCTCCTTGAATACTCATGTGTCATTGTCTTGGAATAGTAATTGGAGAACCTTGCATGTATTACATGGTCATTTGTGTGTATGTGTGTGTGTGTGTATGTGTGTGTATATTTGCTTGTATATTATATTTGGTTGTGTGTGTTGTGTTCAAAAGAATGCATTTCTGAAAATAGGACTCAGTTAAATGTTGAAAGTTCAGGTTAGTTGAAATATTTCATTTAAATGTGCTTTATTTTGGGGAAGATTGATAAAGGAAATTATAATTCTCAAAAATGTGACCAATTTACTGGATGATGAAATGTGAAAACAGTGCCTTTTTAGGAACATCAGTTGTAAAATTAAGTTTAAAAATATTAACGATCTCTTAAAAAGTTGTCATGAACATTATTGGCTTACTTTTAAACTAGACCTAAGTTAGCGGTTAAATTGTAGAAAGTATGATTACTAATTTACGTGCCCCTTTGATTTTTGTGCAAATTTAAAATCTAAGAATTCTTTATAAAATCATAGATGCCACCCAGTGTTTCTAACTAGAACAGGAATTTTGTTCAATAAGTAAAGTTTTATGAAAATCCAACTCAACAAGCTTTTCTCATAGCCAGGTATACCTGAAGAGGTGAATTACTCTAACTTGGACATTCGTGTTCTTCTTTTGATGGATAAAATAAAAATATTCACTATTCTTTCAAAATAAAGTGGATGGGTGGGTTTGTTTTAGCATCCTCAGATTGTAATGACAGCACTTTCAGCACACATACAAATATTTCCGAAGCCGTTTTTGTACAGATTACGAGCTCTACTTTATTTAAGTTTTCATGGAATGATGTAAATTTTAGGTCCAGTTGAACAAATATTGAGTGCCTACCATATGCAAGACTTCCTCTTCACTAGGAATGAAATCACCACACCGTGTCTTCTGTTTGCAGTACATAGACTTTGTGTTTGAAAAGGAATTCCTGTATTTAAATCTTTTTCTGTTAGAGTTTATCATTGTATACTGTAACCCAGTTAATTTTGGATTCAGGTTTTTAGAATGAAAATATAACTTAAGTGAGTCTCATTTTCGAAAATAAAATTCTGCTAAAATTACTTAAAATTAGTTCTGAGGGGAATTGATTTTCAAGATCAAATGTGTAAAGACTTATAATGAACTTTTCAGCCTCATTTTTAATCAGTTGATGTTAATGGTGAGATACATACTTTTTGTATCTTGTTGCTGAAAATATTTTTTGCATTTTGGCGCGTCGAGTTAAAATAAACTTGTTACTACTTATTCAGAATTAATTGGTTTATTTTGTGTTTATTTGAAAAATATGAACTCTTAGATTGGTATGATCTTTCAGAAGAGCCATATTTGATATGCTGACTTTTAAATCATGTATAGTAATTGTCTTTTCAACACAGGGAAGCTAGTATTTTTTAGAACCTACCGAAGATTTATGCCTTAACTTTGAGATATTTACACATATATTTGTTTTAACATATGCATACCATCAATAGGAAGCCCTGGTGACGTAGTGGTTAAGAGTTAACGGCTGCTAACCAAAAGGTCAGCAGTTCGAATCCACCAGGCACTCCTTCGAAGTCCTATGGGACACTTGTACTCTGTCCTTTAGGGTTGCTATGAGTCAAAATCGACTCGACGGCAATGGGTTTGAGTTTTGGGTTTATACTGTCAGTATTGAATGACTTATTCTAATATCATGCACCAATAATCTAACACTTAAGATTACTTTCTACCTAGCCCTCCTCCCCCTTCTTAATGTCACTTATCACAGACAACTTAATCATTTGCTGCTACCAAAAACAGCAGATTTGGGGCAGAGCATCCGTGGACCAGCTTAGTAACAGTAACTCAAAAATTGGTGCTTAAGAATTATGGCCAAGATGGTGGTAAAAATGCAGTGAAGTACCTCCTGCCATATACCCAACACACATATACACATGTACACACAAGCTGAATTCCCCTTAAAAAATAAAAGACCCCAAAACTTAGAACATTATCTATGCAATTATAGTAAAATAAGTGGTAATGTTCTAAACTCTACTGATGATCTATCTATATAAACATATACACACAATGTATATGTTATATATACATACACACACACACATATATATATATATACATACTCTATATCCTTTTTCTTCCTACTCTGCGGCAGCCAGCTCTCTTAGTACTTTATTTTGGAACATTGGAATGTGTTTCTTCCATTCTGCCGCCTCAAAATCATTTGTTTTCTAAGAAGGCAAAGCGGTATTTGCTTAGATCACTATTTTTAAATAGAAGATAAAGTGGTGGAAATCTTTGACATAATCTGTTGGTACTTTTTTTTTTTTTTTTTTTTGGTACCAAGGAAATTTGCATGCATCTGCAGTGGATATTGGAGCCCTGGTGGCACGGTGGTTAAGAGTTAGACTGCTAACCAAAAGCTCAGCAGTTCGAATCCACCAGCCACTCCTTGGAAACTCTATGGGGCATTTCTGCTCTGTCCTGTAGGGTTGCTATGAGTAGGAATCAACAGCAACGGGTTTTTGGTTTGCAGTGGATATTGGCAAACAGTTTGTCATTCCTGTTGTGACTGCTTCGTTTCCACCTCTGACTCTGTCTCATGTCCCACACCCTTAGTCCTTTTGTAGAGAATTCAGGTGCAGCCTTGTGGCAGTCTGTGAAATAGCGGCCAAATAATTCCCATAGTATCTAATCTTACCTTTTGCTCAGATTCACACCAGGCCTTAATAAAGAGTAAAGAGAGAAAAATTAATAGGCTTATGAATAACAATTGCAATACAAAAAAAAAAAAAAGTACCCTGAAGACTCTCGTATACACTTTGCTTTAAAATAATTCATTGCCATAAGCAGAAGGTTATTGAATGTGTATACTTTATAAAGTGCTAAAAAAAATTGCAGGTAATTACAAAAGCTGAACAGGCATAGAAGAGGACAAATAAAAATGACAGGCAATTGAAAAAGGATAGTAAAATTAAGTGTTAACTTGATCAAACTTGAGAGAGAATAAAGCAGAAACTTGAATCAGTAGAAGACAAAATTGAGAGATGCTCCCAGATCACAAGGACAAGAATAGAGATGAAGTGATTCAGTTTAATATCTATCAACAGTTGATTAAATGGATTGACTGACACTCTGCTGAACTCTGAAGTCTATTGTCTCAGAGAAAGCACAACTAAAGAATACAGTGTGTGGTAATGGCTGATAGAAGCACAAGAGGTGGGTGTGGAAGTCCCGGATAGCCTTCCTAAGAAAGTGATCTCTTAATTGAGATTGAGTGGAAGTTAGGCTGTTTAGTGGGGGTGTCATCTAATCCATGATGTGGCATACCAGAGGTGGGGCAATGTTCATGTGGAACATTTGTGGGAATGAAAATGATTATACCCCAGTGTGTAAAAGGAAGAGAAGACTAATGTTTAAACCAGTAAGCAGGGACCATGCATTTTTATAGGCCTTATTAAAGAGGTTGGACTTAACCTATGAGTATTGAGGGGTTTTAAGTGGGGTTGTGTTATGATATTCAACAAGCTGTAAATCTTTAGTTAATTTAGGGGGCTAGATTCGTAGCAGGAGTCTTTGGGTGGCACAGTTTGTGATCGACTGCTAACCAAAAGGTTGGCAGTTCAAACCCACCCAAAGGCACCTCTGAAGAAAGCCTAGTGATCTGCTTCTGAAAGGTCACAGCCATGAAAACCCTATGGAGTGCAGTTCTACTCTGCAACACTGGGGTTGCCATGTGTCTGAATAGACTCAAACAGCAATTGGTTAGTTAGATTGGTAGCAGGGAGATCCTCTTAAGACATGAAGAATATTAGTACTCTGTGCTAGGCTAGTGCCATTGAGACGGAGAAAAAGGGAGAAATTTGAGAGGAAATATTGATAGGACTTGGAAATAAATTGCATATGGGAAAAGGGAGAGAGGAGTCAAGAGTGACTGCCAGGTTTTGCATTAGAGCAATCGTTTTGGAGAGTAGCACCATTCACCGATGACAGCAGTCACAAGAGTAAGAGCAGTTTTGGAAGAAAAACTGATTTTTATTTGGAGCCTGTTGACATTAAGATTCCTATGGGGCATTCTGGTAGGATATACAAATCTTAAACTTGAGAGTGATCTGGGTTATAAAGTCAAGAATTGACTGTAGACAAATGATAATTGGTGTATATAGGCTGAGGGGAAGACAACTCAGAGCAAATACAAATTAAAGGGACAGGCAGAGAAAGAAGGAGCATCCAAAAGTGGAAGAATAATCAAAGATACAACCAGAAGAATGTCTATTCTATAAGGTGAAAAGAGAATGTTTTATGAGAAGGAGTGGCTAATAGTGTCAAATGCTGATGAGCCTTCAAGTATGAAACTAAAATATAAAGTAGATTTTTTAGAGAGGAGATGAAAGGAGTCTTTGGAGCGAGGAAAGAATCACTGGAGTGAGTGAGGAAATGGATGCTCCAAGTATAGAACATGGGAAGTTTGGTGAAGATGGCAAAGGGGAACTGTAGCTAAAGAATGGGATAAAAGGATGACCTTTTTTTTGTTTGTTCGCTTTTCATTTTGTTGGAAGGAGTGTCAGTATATTAAGGAGTCTTAGAATACAAACAGGATTTCTGGGGTCCTAATCAGAAGAGAAGAGGAATGGAATCAGGTCCCAGACAGGAAGATGTCCATAACATGAGGTAAGGAGAAATGCATGGATGCAGAATAAGATTTGTGCTTTTTTTTTTTCCCCCTTCGAAAGTCGATGTTATACTCGTTTTATGTCTTTTATTCCTTGTGAAGTCATCTATTCAGTAAAGAAGGTGGCCGATTGGTAGAGCAGGGGTCAGCACACTTATTTTGCGAAGAGCAAGATAGTAAATATTTTACACTTTGCGGACAATTGGGTCTCTGTCCCACCTACTTAACTATGCCATTATAGTACAAAAAGCAGCCAGCGACAATCATAAATAAATGAGTGTTGCTGTGTTTTACTAAAACTATTTACAAAAGTAGGCAATGGACTGGATTTGACCTTTGTGCTATAGTTGGCTTGTTTAAAGGTTTGAGGAGAACAAAGAAATAATGTGGAGAAAAAACCATGGATGGCCCAGTTGAGCTTGGAGGCCGTGACTTTGTATAAGATGAGTTGAAAAGACCTAATATTTACATAATTTGTTAATAAGGAAATAATTGGAATAGAAGTAGTGATTAAAGATATTAGAAAATCATTTTTCATAAAAAATACAAATTTTAGAAATGGGAAAATTCATAGTGCTCCAGGGGGAATTCATGAATAGATATCCAAACATACGGATATCCAGACATACTGGGTAACTTTTAAATTGAGATGATAATAACAGCATCCAAGCAATAAATAAACATATAAAAATCTTATTTCCCCGATAACACTTCTCTACATCAATGGACAGTGAACAATTAACCAAACTTAAAGTGAAAAAAAAAAAAAAATTTGTGTTTGTGTGTTTTAGGTGAAACTTCACAGCATATATTAGTTTTTCATTCAAAAATTTATATACAAATTGTTTTGTGACATTGGTTGTAATCCCTGCAGTGTGTCAGCACTCGGTTTCCCTTTCCACCCTGGGTTCTGTGTGTCCATTCATCCAGTTTTCCCATCCTTTCCTGCCTTCTCAGCTTTGCTTTTGGGCAGATGTTGCCCATTTGGTCTTGTATACTTGACTGAACTAAGAACCACGTTTCTCACATGTGTTCCTGTTTGTTTTATAGGACTGTCTGATATTTAGAAAAGGCAGACCTCAGGAGTGGCTTCAGTTCTGAGTAAGCCATTTTCTCAGAGGTTCCTCCAGTCTCTGTCAGACCAGTAAGTCCTGGTCTTTTCTGTGAACTTGAATTTTGTCCTACATTTTCCCCCCGCTCTGTTCAGGACCCTCAATTGTAATCCCTGTCAGAGCAGCACCATCTACTTCTTCTGGGCTCAGGCTGGTGGAGGCTGAGGTTCATGTGGTCCATTAGTCCTTTGGACTAATGTTTTCCTCGTGTCTTTTATTTTCTTCATTCTCCTTTGCTCTGAACATAATGGGAACAATAGATGTGTCTTAGATGGCCCCTAGCAAGCTTTTAAGACCCTAGAGGCTACTCACCAAAGTAGGATGTAGAACATTTTCTTTTTGAATTACGTTATGTCAGTTTTCCTAGATGGCACCTGAGACCATGGTCCCTAGCCCTCAGCCCCAGTAACTTTGTCCGTCAAGGTGTTTGGATGTGTCTAGGAAGCTTCTATAAATTCTCCTTGTTCAAGTTGTGTTGCCTTCCCC